CCGATTTTAAGTTTTACCACTATGAAATGAATGACCTACTTAGAGCAAGTACAAAAACGAATTTAATATTGATTGAGTGACGAGTTCGTGCGGCAGACATATGGTTCTCCGGCAGACCCCTAAGCGCTGTAATCATGTCCTCTCTTACCGAGGATTCACATACTCACTTATTCAAGCCGGGTCTAACTTAGCTGGAACCAACAGTTGATCAATCAAAGAAGACATATAAAGTTGGAAGCACCTGTTCAAACTACCCAATTTTGTAATTATCATGTGTTTCAGAACTGTCAAACTCAGTCCGCTGTCACTTGAATTATTCACATGTAAAACGCAAAGGTGTTTGCAATTACGCTGCCAACTAAACATCATCATCCCTCATTATCCCGTGTCGTCGCATCATATTACCAAAGCTTCACATGAACTGAATCGCGGCCAAGACAGCAGCAGCGAAAACGAGAGTCGCAGGCTTGTTCAAGTTGGCAATGCTAGCCTCATCAGTGGCAGTAGCGCTCTATCATCGAGTCAGTCTCTGGTGTGGCCTACGACTGGGAGAGATAATACGTACGGTGCTTGACGTCGGGGAGGACGTGGATCCAGTCGCACTCGTGCCGGCGGTTGCTGTCGCATTGTTTGAGCTGTTCGAAGCCGAGACGGGGGTAGCGTCCAGGTTACACACCTCGGCAGCCTCCGTCACACCATCGCCGTAGTACTGCCAGATATCATACTTCTCGGCACACTCAAGGCAGCCCTCCAGAAGACCGGTCCAAGTCTCGTTGGTACAGTAGTTGTCCTGCTCGGCTCCGAGGATGGCGTAGCCTGCATGCCGTCAGTATCTGTGTCTTCATGTCGGAGTTTCGATCACATACCGCAGTCGGCGTGGCATTCGTACTTTGGCCCGCTGGTCAACTGACGCGCGTGGAGAGGAACGACGGGGAGCCACTCAAGGGCAGCGGCCGTGTAGGCCAGAGTCGCGATGACGGTTGTGAATTTCATCTCGGCTGCTTGGTGTTTCGACTGCAGTGCTGTTGAAGTTGAGCGGATCGAGTAAGGTAAGATAAAAAAAAGTGCTCACATGCTGATCATTAGGGACTCGATGACACTAAATAGTGACAAGATCTCGGAACAAACAGGCCATTGCATACGAAATCTTCTCCGGGGATCCTCTTGGTGGATCGATAACTTGCAGGAAGAGGGACTCTTGGCCGAGTGCCTTGAACCGATGGGCGAATCAAGTTGTAGCGGCCTAGGATGCCGAGTTCCCAAGTTGCATCGGTTCATCTATGGCGGAGAATCAGATTCTTTGGGTAGCGTTCAAGATTGCTCAAAATCTTCTCACATGTGACTCGAGTTTTCACAGACTTTCGCAACTTCAAACAGCGAGTTCAGCATGTTGCATGTCAGACTGTTATGGCCAGTCGACATGTTGCACCTCCGAAGCCTCGACACCAGAACATAATGAAGGAATCATTGCCTTGAAAGTTCTTGAATTGACACAGCAAGATCAGAGTACAATGAGAGTAAACAACTCAGAGCAAGATCCAAGAACTTAGCAGGGATGCCATGCCGCTGGACGAGGGACCGAGATCTCGGCGCATGTTTTGATTGGTTGATACCATCTTATCAGATGATCTGATATCCGCTCGCAATTTCCAGCTTTTCGCCCACCTGAATCATGCCTGAGGAATTTTCTTTTGCCAAGCTTCAACGGCTCCAAAGCCCGATGCCGAAACCCACCGACTCGGCCGGGACCGCCTCCGGACACCGGACGAGTCTTCCGCTTCAAGTTCTCACCGAAAATTACCGGCCGGCCTCCTCGCAGACGAACAAAAGGGTTGGGTACGAACAGGCCCGGCACACCCCTGAGCCTCGCGCCAATCTGAGCCTGTATTCCGTCAACGTTGTGGAGTTCGTTCGCCTGGCGTTCTTGCGGTGTGGTCTTCGCCCCTGTCCGAACCCATTCCCAACCCCGTCCGCCACTCTTTCTCTCCAATCACGACCCCGACCCGGTCCCCAGGGCGTCAGCTCCCTCAAAGCGATCCGGTTCGTCGTCCTCGCGTCTCTGTGGAAACCTCAACAAACCAACCCATGAACGCCCAGCTCTGCCTTCTCGATCCGGCCATCAGACGAAGCACGCGCCCAATACTGAGTCTCTTACCGCCAGAAGCCCAGCCCACCGCTGCATGACAGCACACATGCGCTATTCCACATGCAGGTCATCTTCAACGAACGACTCCGACAGAGGAAGTGTGCAGCACGCAGAGAATTCCGCAGGGCGCACGACAGAGAGTCAGAAAACGAGTGGCTGACCGGTCCCACGATGTCCACCGCTCATTGCGCACCCCAGGCGTTTGCGTCCGTTGCCCGGGTCGCCGACGAGTGAACCAACTGACCGCCTATTAAAGACGTGCAGGTGCCCGCATCTCTTGTTGATTCTTCTCTTTTGAAGACACCCTCTTCCGAGGATCAACCTCGAGAAACCCACCCAACGACATCCAACATGGCCCAGGCCTCGCCTTCGTGGCAGAGGCTGATGGGGCTCCTGTCGGTGCTGCTGGCCATGCTCCTCGGTCTCTCGGCCGAGAAGCAGGGTGCCGCCGCCGCCGGGTGCCCCGCCGAGATTGTCTCGGCACCGGACAACACCTGGTCCGTCGACTTTGACAACAGGACCGACGTCTCTGAGAGTGCGTTTTCCCTCCTCCACTTCAACATATCGACGCCGTTATGCTGACACTTTTCCAGCCCAGAGAGAGAGCTCGTACGTCGAGAGCCTGAGGGAGGAGTTTGAGAAGCTCGAGGCGACCGGCCTTGCCGGCACGGGCGCCGAATCCAGCTTCGAAGACTTCACCGTCAAGATCCCGGCCTCCTGCCTCAACGGCCCCGCCGCCAAGAACAAACACGCTCCGCTCGAGCTCCCCGTTAGTCTCGCCAGTCTGCATCTGCGGACCGTCCAGACGTGGGCCAGCTACATGTAACCACGGCGGCGGTTTGCGCAAACCACCAAACCGCCGACACGCGAAGATCTACCAGAGAATCATTGCCGTGTTGGAATTTCCACAAAGAAGAGAAACATCCGACACACCCTACTACTTATCACGTCGGGGTGTGCTGAGCGTAACAAGCAAGTTTACGCTAAGCAAGTCCCCGAGCCCGGCCGCAATCGACGCGGTCTCACTCACTTCAACGACATTTACGACATGAAACAATCAACGAAACGAAATGAACAACCAAAAAAATGATGAAAACGGAAACGAAAGTCCTCTCGTCTCACGGAGACTGAGAAGTACGATGAAACGAGTCTTCTATGTCTACGATACCTACTTCTTTCCTCTTCAATGAGGTTACGGCCACTTGGCCCTTGAATACAAATCTCATATGTCCCCCCAAAAGAATACTTTGCGCCCTTAAACTGTGATGCCTTGTCTTCTGTGAACCCTCTTTGGATCGATCCATCAAACCTGTGACATGTAGAATGTTGAGCTTGGTCGGCAGGATGCCGTACTCGGGGCTCATGATGATCGCATCTCACCATGTCGTTGTCTGATGGCTTGCTGAGGCAGCCGCATTCTTGTGAACACTGGTGGCCACGCGGCTTACTACTCATATCTATCTTACATAAAGACTATGCAATGTTTGCCGTCCATTGGTATTACCTATGCCAAACAACGTAGCAAAGCTCGTACGAACTCAGCCTAAGACCTCCGTGGTTTCCGGCTGAAATCTAGAAGGTCTCCTGGGCAAGGTTAACCCCCGCTCATGGGGATCATATTAGTGTAGAAGTCAACCATTGGAACCATTTCTCGTGGTTGACTTGCCTTTCCGTGTCTATTTCGGCAACATGGGAAACTAAAACTTTCTGTCTTAATCAAGAGTTCCCCACATGGCGAAAATTATCGTTTTACGGGCGTCATCAGCAGTCCGTTACTTCGAGTCAGTGAACAGTGCTGGAAGTCCATAATAGTCTCAGACAAAATTGTATTACCAGAAGAATAAGAAGCGGCTGCGTAACTGTTTTAGCTTTCTTTAGGTTTCCTGCGCTCTCACCCAAGAACTTTGACCATCCGTTATCTGGTTACTTCACCATCTAGACTTTGCAATCAATTTGCTCATTCACTACAGAAATGCATCTAGCAAACGTGGCTGCTTTTGTGGTGCTCTTGGCGGCACCACTCGTGTGCGCTGATAATTGTCAAGATCGGATCTACCCATGCGTAAGTGGAATGGTATATTTCCTCACCTAATGACTGACGAGTGCCATCCAGTCCCCTCTATCTGCCTGTAACAACCTCTTGAGTGGAAAGCAGATCTGTGCTACAACTGAGAGAGTCGACGGTGGCTGTCTTCAAACCATCACAGGCGTCAATGAAGGCGCCGTCCGTGTACGTTTATCTATGCGCTTCTCATTCTGGCCGTCAGCTAACTTCCTGAACAAGTGTCACTGCTGCCCCAAATAAGGCATTTCTGCAGACGATCTTCGATTTCATGAGCATTGAGTGGGAAAAGTTAACCATTCGGGTCTTATAGCCTCGGAACAGATGAACGTCAGTCCTCCTAAGACTCATATGGGGACGTTGTAGCATGCAGACGAGCCAACCTATACCCATAGCACATTGCATATTAGAGACTTGTTTTATTAAACTCTGTAGTTGAGCTTTACTTCAATACAATTTCCTTCCAAACCGGACCCGGCGCAAAACTCGTGCCAATGGCCCATTCTCGAATGTGCCCGATCCCGCGTGCCCGATCCCGCGCCTTTCTGCGTAATCACCGTCCCGCTTGACTAGTATGACATTGTAATCGTACTCAGACAATCGGGTTTGAGGATGAGGAGTCGACACAGCTTCTGATAGAAGGAGTATCTCATATGGCCCTGCGTGCTCGAAGCTAGGCATCTCCTCGATGCTGTCTGCCGTCAATCCCCCACAACCCTGCCCATCTGCCCCTCGAAGATCACCCTCAGACCAGGAAATACTTCTTGAGAATTCCAGAAAGATGGCCAGCGTCTAAAATTGCAGAACAGAGTATACGGGTGTCACGGTTGGCGATAAGGACGGTGCAGTGCGAAAGGCGTCCGAGTCAGTAGGGAGCTGGCTTTTGAAGCGCTCCCTGTAGCAAGGTCCACTTGGCGAGTTGCGCACAGGATCTGTGAAGAGTCTCAACTCCCCGTCTACTCCTCTTTCATACCACAGTATCCAGCACTTCTGCTTGAGCCAGTGGTGAAGTTGGTAGAAGACATGTCCTTGGCTCGGACGAACGCGACTAGCACCCACCCAGCCCGACCACGACCAGCTGGGAAACCCCTCCCGGCGCCTTCTTGCAGTCATCGAGGTGAACCCGGCTCCGAAAAGCAGAAAGAAGTCCATGGCCTGGACTAGAGTACCTTCGATGAACCGGATGTTCCACTTCTCTGTCGCGCGGCGCATGATCCCCTCGACGGCACGCAGGACGTCTCTTTGGTCCGTGAGAGCCCGGGCAGAGTAGCGGCTGACGATGTCTTCCCAGTCGCGCACTGGATACTTGAGCCGGAACGCCTGGGGCGGGGACCATGGCTCCTCCCACTCGTGTTTCTTCTTGGAGACTGGCTGGTCTAAGCATGCCTCGCTGAACTCGTCGCTTGCACAGCGAAAGAAGACTTTGTTGACGACGAAACAGAGTGCTCGTTGACATAGGGCTTGCTCTTGAAAGCTGTCTCTGTTCGTCAGTCCTTAATGTGGAAAATGAACGCGGGTACAACCTACGTCCACCCTCTCGTCTGGTAGACCGTTGCTGCGAGCGCCCAGTCGAGGGGCGTGTACAGCCCGAGGCGCGTCTTGCTTGTAATTCGCATGGCGTGTTGGGGTGCCCGCGTCCCTATCACCGCTGATAGACCGGAATTTGCATGGGTTCCACAGGCGGCGATGACTGTAAGCCACGACCGTTCAAAGACGTTGTCCATCACTGCTGTGCCTCTCCTCAGGTCCTCTGGATCGTCCTGTACGAGACAAAGAAGGTCGACCCAAACATAGCGAAGCCGGAGGAGCTTTATTAATTTCATGGTATCCAGGATCGTGAGCGACAGTCTGTCGCATATTTGAGAGATCGAGCCAGGTTGCCGCAGTCGTCCAAGAGTTGACTTGCTGAGTCTGAAGCTAGAAACTCCGCCCCAAACGTAGCTGAGCGTAACATACTTGTATGGGCGGATATCTGACACCTCGATCAAGCTGTCGCTCTCGAGATCAATGAGTCTGAGAACTTGAAGTCTAGGGAAAGTTGACTTGAAGCCTTGATAGTTGTGGGCTCTGCATCTGGTGATGGGATGCGTTGTAGTACATGTCTCTATCTATTGCAGGATCCTCGAAAGAGATGACTGAGCGAAGATCATCGTAAGTGAGGGGTACCTTGCCGCAGTGCTGGCAAAGCGAAGGCGGAGCGGCAGAATACATGTCAACTTGACATAGTACTGTTCAATGGAAGAAAAATAACCCAGAAAATGCACAGTTTTCTAAGTCTGATTCGCGGCAGGCTCTGGACGCACAAAGTGCTATGTGCATTCCTCCTGCATCGGCGCTTGAGTTGGGTTCTTGCTTCAGGGGTACCAAATCCAAGAGCGGTTCAGGTGCTGCGACCGCCCCGCCAGGCCGCTTCAGGCGGCGTCTAACGCTAGAACACCGCTACAAAGACCCAGCTCGCCCCCAAGCTGCAACATTCTCTTCTTCACACAAAACACAGCATTGTCATCCGTCTTCTGCTGACGCGAACGATTGAACTTTCAATAGAGAAGGCGACTCATCTTATTCGTGTTCTACTACTGCGGAACGCTACAAAACACGACGAGAAGAACTAGCAGCAGCTCCCCGAGCGAGCGCGGAACATTGAAACCTGACGCAATTGCGCTAGCGAACTTGGGTAGCAAATTCTGACCGAGCCCCCAACAAGAGTTCCTCTTGAAAACATACGCCCTGATGGTCTAGCGGTATGATTCTCCCTTAGGGTTGTCTTCGGCACCTCAACCTGGGAGAGGTCCCAGGTTCGATCCCTGGTTAGGGCCCATAACTTTTGCTTTTTTGATGATTTTGATGATAATTTTCATTTAAGGCCCCAAGAACGTCTGGTCTATTTGTTTTGTATTTTACTGTCATATTGCTGCAACCCACCGCTTCTACCTAGCTTCCTGCCGTAATCCATCAGTCATTCACACGCCAACATAAAAAGTTGGACTTGAGTTTTACCCGCACATATTGGGGCCACACAATGCAACCTATCTTCAAGAATTGCCATTCAACCCAGAGTCCGGACTTATAAGCAGTGCACCCTACACACATGTAGACCGTGAATGAAGGATGGGGCATGAATGACAGTTTCACAGTTGTATCCAATAGAATCAGCACCTTCACAATATCACTCAGCAACTGTGCAGTAGGGTTCGGATGATGAGCTAAGATTGAAAAGATCTCTGAAAAGTCAAAACTCGACCCAAGAAAAAAGAAAAGCAAATGCAAAGAAGAACAGTGCCGTCAACTAGCTAATAAATGAATCGGAACGGTGGGCTCAGCAAAACAACAAACTCAAATGCGGTTCTATGGTTCCCGCGCAAAAGCGGCCAATGCTATGCGAGATTTTAGTTGCCGCCCTTGTTACCGCCATTGTTACCGCCGCCCTGGCCACCTCCCTGGCCGCCACCGCCGTTGTTGTTGTTGTTGTTGTTGTTCCCAGGGAAGCCTGGGATGTTGCCGAACTGGCCGTTGTTGCCGACGCCGTTCGGGCAGATCTGGCCGGCGGACTGTGCGGCCGCGAGCAGGTCGTTTTGGCTCTTGCAGTTGTTGGAGACGCAGGTGACGAGAGAGTTCACGTCGGCCTTCTGGCAGTAGCAGTCCTTGATGTTGTCTCGAGTGCAGCCGGCCTTTTGGAGGCCGTCGTTGAGGCAGCCGTTGGCGCAGTCGGGGAGCTTGATGTCATCGGCGACAGCGAGGCCGGCGGCGACGGCGAGGATGGCGAAGATGGAAGTCTTCATTTTGAAGGTTGGAGTTGTTCTTGTGAAATAGAGATGTTGTAGATGGTTTGTATAGTGAGAGATTTGCGACGAGAGCTTCGTGAGTGATGTCGGAGTGTGGTGCTGATGAGCTGGAAGAGAGTTGGTAAGTCGGGTGTAACGGCAGGATTATATATCTGACCTGCCAACCGAGCCAAGAGAGGCCCTTACGAAGGAAGTCTTCACAGCTTATTCCCCCTGACGTCAAAGTCAACATAGCCATGATCTTTTCTCAGCAACAAAAGCAGTGCAGCGCCTCGCCGATTGGGCATCTCATCAGCTGTCCGCGTAATACCGTCGACTAGGTTTGACAGAAATGCCAATGCACGAGGCGCGTGGGCGGCAAACCTTGACATCTCGGACGCTTACACGGCCAAACCGAGAATAGTTCCATGACGAGCGAGAGATTTCTCTCGCGAACTCTGTTGCCTTTCCATACTTTCTTCCACGGCCAATCACCCACCCCAGGCTGCGTGTCCGACCTCCGGGGCACCACCGCCGCACCCAATCGCGCGCCACCCCGTCCCGTCAAGCCGTTCGTGTCACACCGCGTCCCCGAGGTGGAAGTGGCTGTTTGCACGTCATGAGATGAGTAGTTCCTCCCGTCGCTCGGACGGTGGAAGTCTGTCAGCTTTGAGCCGCAGCGGCGGGCTGTGCGGTTTACGCGGTGTTTGGCCACATGGGGAATGGGGGCTGTTCAGATCATAGCGAGCTGACCGAGCACTTGCGTCTTTCCAACGGCGATGCATCGCCGTTTGGATCATCACCTTGATTTTTGTTCCTTTCATCTTCGATCGCGCGCAGCATTTGGAATGTTTTGTTTATTGAGAATGTCTGCCTTCTGTCGGCGACATCAGATATTTGCTATGTGTCGTGGGGGCATGAGGACGCTCGGGACTCGTCTGCGCCTGTTCACGGACGACCAGATGACACAATCTTCGGCGTCACTCTACGTCGGCTGCCGACTTTCTGTCTTCCATGCCGTCCCAAATCGGTCTTTTTTCTGTTCTCTCGCCGACCTTAATCATTGAACTCCCCCGATTTTGACGGGCTCGGTCGATGAGAGCTGCGTACGGCATGAATGTAGGTCTAGGTGTTTGTCGGCCACAGACAATATCACGATATGTAGACCGAGAGTCCACGAGGTTTAAGAATTTCGTCGAGAAAAGTGATTTCTAGAAACATGCCAAGACGGCGGCGGAAGTGAGCCTCCGGGGCGGACGTTCGTATCCGCCTACACGTATCCTCTGGTTCCTCTCAACATCAGCCAAACTTTGAGGAGAAAAATGATTCAATGATACACGTCGAGCTGAATAGTACTGAGAATTCCATGTTTTACCCGTTGCAGACTATTCTCCGTGGCCTGATCGACGAGACGCGCACAAAAGATGAACTGATTTGAACAGTCTAAGATACGCAAACACCTGATTGATTGCCTAAGTACCCAAATGGTCAATAGTATCTGAATTCCTAGCGCAAGCCTTGCAGCAGATGGAAGAGTAATGATCAATCTTTCTGTCCCGGTCTCGATGGAAGCTGTCCGGCGGATGAGGTCATTTTGATTTTCTTCCATGAGCTTCTCAACATGTCAAAAGCTCCACGTCAAACCATTTCAGAGAACAACGACTACCATACAATTACCGTTGCCGATACTGATTCTGATATCGCGAAGCCGATCTGCAATCGTGTAACATCAAAGTTCAAAGGCTTCGCATCTTTGTGTTGATATTGTCCAGTGTCAAAGACTTTGTGGTCCCGAGGTAGCCACCTGTGCCAGCCCACACCCTAGATAGGCGATGTTACCCTGTGTTGGTTTGCTTCGGAAGAGATATCACATCCAGCCAATGACCACACGCAAAATCAGTGAATTATGCGGGAATGCCCGTACGGATGCGTTCCCCTAGTTGTGCCGCCAACCTACATTCCCTAATGGTTTAAACGCATGCCGGCTACCCTTTCCTGACCCTCGCGTTGGACCCCACCGCGTTGCATCGTTCCTCGGCTCACGATGGCATCCTTCGTATCTAGGAACTTCCCAAAGTCGGTACTGCACATTGCGCCTGTCTTCCTCGCAAGACAAAGAGCATGGGATTAAAGGCCAAAACACACTCATGCATGGCGTCGTCACTCACTATCATTCGGGGCTTCAGAGAACCCGCCAACATGTCAAGGGTGCGATGCGTCTGCCCCCATTGATGGGGCATCTTCAATGCAACCCCTTTGCGAGTCCCGCCGCGCATGCGTCAATCATTGCCTCTTACCGTCTCCATCTCCGGACATGATGCCGGACACGCGGCGGGGAGGTTCATCGCGCAGGCGGCCAATGGCGGCCTGCTTATTAGAGTCACCCTTGCCAGGTCCCTTGGCGGGAGGAAGAATAAAGGAAACGAGCTCCCTCGTAGGCCCTCGTAGGCGAGCTTTGTCACATTGCACCGCATCGCTGCCGTCACCGTCGTGCTTGACGGCATCTGAGAAACATGGCGATACTCAACCTATCCGTGGGCGGCAGCGCCGCGGAGATTGGGCTTCGCGCCATTCTGCTGCTCGTAATTTTCAGTGTTGGCTACACTCTGGTGCAACTCGTTCAAGTACGGCTCCTGTTTTGGAGACTGAGGAGACAGGGCGTCGTAAGTTGAACAACCCCAAACCATTCACCAGGACAGCGCTGACGAGGCTCACAGCCAATGATGCCCTACTCCCTACTCTTTGGACATATACCTGTCATCACAAAAATTACATCCGGCCTGCCCAAAGACATTCACACAAACTACTTCTCCCAGCTCATCTACCAGAACTGGCCGGCACTCTTTCCCGGTCGC